AGGAGCTTCGTGCCCGCCATCAGCACGGCTATCCCGGAGCAGGTGGCCGGCACGAGGTGTCTTTTTTCATCCAGAAAATTGGCAAAGCCTTGTGCACGAGGGTTAAGCCAAGTGCCACGGGTGCCCGAGCCAAGCCGGCTGGCAGGTGGGCACAGAGTCTGAGGCTAAGGTTGAACATCCCCTTCAAAACCCAGGTTGGCATTTAAGTGCCACTGTGGTAAGAGGTGGGGCCTCTGGGGCCGGCGCTGTGGTGCAGCGGGTAAAGCCACCACCTGCGGTGTGGGCATCCCATAGGGCCGCCCGCTCAAGTCCCGGCTGCTCCTCTTCCAGTCCAGCTCTCTGCTGTGGCCGGGGAAAGCAACGGAGGACAGCCCAGGTCCTGGGGCCCTGCACCCTCGTGGGAACATTGGAGGAAGTTCCCGGCTTCGGGTCAGCCCAGCTCCGACTGCTGTGGCCACTGGGGAGTGAAGCAGCGTGTGGAAGACCTCTCCCCCCCCGCCTCTCTCTCCCCCTCTCTCTCTCTCTCTCTCCCTCTCTCTATAACTCTACCTTCCCAATAAATAGATAAATCTTTAACAATTTTTTTTCTTAACACTGGTGGCATTTGGACCTGGATGTGGCTGCCATTTTCCCGGTGCACTTAGTGGGGTCTTTGCGGGAGGAGGAGGGTCTTTGCGGGAGCTTGGGCCCACCAAGCTCTCCACAGGACTTCACTGAGGAATCCTGGAGGCTTGGGGGGAAGCGCCGGGGCACCCTCGGGCCAGGCTGGGTGGTTCCTCCAGAGGGGCCCCTCCCACAGGAAGCGTGCCCCCCCGCATGATCCCACGCATGCCAGGGAGGTCAGAGAACCCTGTGGGATCCCCGTGGCGAGCGTCAGAGCCGGGCCCTCGCGACGGGACCTCGGACACAAGCCCAGGGCCCTTTTGGCCACTGCGCCACTGCCTTTCTAAAGGAATACGCCACGTGTGGTCAGGCTCTGAGACGGCCACGGTGATCTCCTGGAATCTGTGCCTTTGTGTCGTCCCCTCCTGCTGAGTGTGGACAGCACCTGTGCCTTGCCTGTGACCCGTGGAACCTGATACAGCGCCAGGGGTGGGGGCAGGGGGGACACGGCCGTGATTCCAGACTCCTCCTTCCATCCTCCTCCGTGGCTTTGATGAAACAAGCTGCCACATGGCAAGTCCACGTGTGGAAGTCCACGTGGCAAGGCCTGAAGGCCAGCAAGCTGCCAAGCCCCCACAAGGAACCGCAGCTCCGATGGCCACATGGACGTGGGAGCCAACCCCTCCCCAGCAGACCGTGCCCCAGCTGACACTTAGTGAGAGTCCCCATGGCAGATGAACCATGGAGCCACGCCCGCACCTCCGACCCCAGATCTTAACTCTGTGTAGTCTTGAGCCACTAGCTTTGCGAGAACTCCTTACACAGCAGTAGGCAACGGACACATGGCCCTTTGGGAACGTTGGTTCATGCTTCCAGCAGTCTCTTGCCAGGACAAGCACACGTGCTTGGTATTCATCAGTGAAGAAAACAGAAGTCCTGGGGCCGGCGCTGTGCCACAGCGGGTAAAGCCACCACCTGCAGGGCCGGCATCCCATATGGGCGTCCGTTTGAGTCCCGGCTGCTCCACTTCTGATCCAGCTCTCTGCTGTGGCCTGGGAAGGCAGCGGAAGATGCCCAAGTGCTTGGGCCCCTGCACCCACGTGGGAGACCTGGAGGAAGCTCCTGGCTCCTGGCTTCGGATCGGCTCGGCTTTGGCCGTTGTGGCCAACTGGGGAGTGAACCAGCGGATGGAAGCCCTCTCTCTCTTTGTCTCTTTCTCTCTGCAACTCTGCCTTTCAAATAAATAAATCTTAAAAAGGAAGGAAGGAAAAAGGAGGAAGAAAGCAGAAATCATACTCTCACTGGGCACAAACGCTACCGCTGGTGGGAACAGGGTGGGGGGAACGTGTGCTGGCTGTGGGAGACAGGAAGTGAGCTAACGTCTTGGCTCTGCTGCTGACAGCATCCCAGCACGCTGCGTGTATAAACAGCGCTGATGAGCAGGGTCCCCACACGAGGCGGCTGGGCTGGGTGCGGGGCTTGCAGTTTTACACCCCTCCTGGGACAGGACGCGACAGGACTGCAGGGAGGGAGCCAGGCCGATCTGCCCAGGAAGAACACTGCAGGTAGAGGGAGCAGCCAGCACCAGGGTCCAGGTTTGTTGGAGAGACAGCCAGGCCGCTGTGGTCAGGGGGCGGGGGCGGAAGGAAGGCCCTGTGCATGCTCCTGGGCTACTGTGAGGACGTGGGTTCTAATCTTCCAGGAGTTGCTGGGCTGAAGAAGGTGATGACCCTGGGACTGGCACTGTGGCGTAGTGGGTAAAGCCTCAGCCTGCGGCACCGGCATCCCATACGGGCTCGAGTCCCAGCTGCTCCCCTTCTGATCCAGCTCTCTGCTATGGCTGGGAAAGCGGTGGAAGATGGCCCAAGTCCTTGGGCCCCTGCACCCACGTGGGAGACCCGGAAGAAGCTCCTGGCTTTGGATCGGCGCAGCTCCAGCGGTTGCAGCCAATTGGGGAGAGAACCAGCGGATGGAAGACCTCTCTCTCTCTCTCTGTCTCTGTCTCTCTCTCCCGTAACTCTTTCAAATAAATAAAATGAATCTTAAAAAAAAAAAAAAAAAGCTGTCCAGTTCCAGGTACAAACAGGAACACGGAGTCTATGCCTCATTTGTGGTATTTTAATGATGCAATCAAAGGTCAATTGATTTGAAAAAAATAATCCGAGAAGAGTTGAGCAGAGGCCCTGCTCATAGCTGGTGACTTCCCACCCAAGGCCCCCCAGGAAGACTGAGCAATTTTAAAATTTGAAAGGGAGGGAGGGAGAGAGGAGGAAGAGGGACAGGGAGGGAGAGGGGGAGGGGAGGGGAGGGGAGGGGAGAGGAGGGGAGAGGCAAAGGGAGAGGAGGAGGCGGAGGGGGCTGAGGGGGGAGGGGGAGAGGGAGGGAGGGGCGGGGGGGGGGGAGGTGAGAGTGGCAGCAGGAAGGAATTCGCTCCTGCTATTTCTGTTAAGGTCACACCTACAAGGACTTTTTAGCCCATTCCCCTACGCGGGGTTCTTGGGAAAGCACTAACAAAGATTGCAAATACGGATTGGCATTAAGGTGTGCAAATGTTTCTTTTTTAAATCTTTGTGCCCCCTCCTTTGCGACCCGGGAAGGAGGTGTCCTGAGGCCTCCTGAGAGGTGGGGTGTCTGTGGGGGGCCCAGCCTGCCCCTCACTCTAGGACAGACAGGTGGGGGGGTGGGGGGGCTCAGCCTGCCCCTCACTCTAGGACAGACAGGTGGGGGTTGTGGGGGGCAGCCTGCCCCTCACTCTAGGACAGACAGGTGGGGGGTGTGGGGGGGGCCCAGCCTGCCCCTCACTCTAGGACAGGTGGGGGGTGGGGGGGCCCAGCCTGCCCCTCACTCTAGGAGACAGGTGGGGGGTGGGGGGGCCCAGCCTGCCCCTCACTCTAGGACAGACAGGTGGGGGGTGTGTGGGGGGCCCAGCCTGCCCCTCACTCTAGGACAGACAGGTGGGGGGTGTGGGGGGGCCCAGCCTGCCCCTCACTCTAGGACAGACAGGTGGGGGGTGTGGGGGGCCCAGCCTGCCCCTCACTCTAGGACAGACAGGTGGGGGGTGTGTGGGGGGCCCAGCCTGCCCCTCACTCTAGGACAGACAGGTGGGGGGTGGGGGGGCCCAGTCTGCCCCTCACTCTAGGACAGACAGGTGGGGGGTGGGGGGGCCCAGCCTGCCCCTCACTCTAGGACAGACAGGTGGGGGGTGTGTGGGGGGCCCAGCCTGCCCCTCACTCTAGGACAGACAGGTGGGGGGTGGGGGGGGCCCAGCCTGCCCCTCACTCTAGGACACGGGGGCCCAGCCTGCCCCTCCACTTCGTGGCCCCAGCAAATCCTGGCCTTCCTGTGCCCGCTGGTTGGGAAGCAGATGAGCCCGGCCCAGCGCTGCCCCGGCTGTCACCCTCTGCCCCCTTGGCCCGGACATTCGAAGCGGCTTTTGAGCAAGGCCCCCTCTGCCTCCGCCCTGCAAACCACTCGGCGGGCTTGCGCCCTGGGCTGTGCGTGCGCCTCAGTGTTCTGCCCAGGCGAGGGTTTCGCGGGACCCCCCGCCCACGCAGTTCCACACAGCGCGGGTCCTAGGGCTCCCAGGTGCTGCGTGGGCCCTGAAGACTTGGTGCGACCCTCGGCGGACCTACCCCGGGAGGCTGCGTGGGGGCCGTGTGCCCAGGGTGCCGTCCTGCAGCTGGGGGAGGTGCCACCGGGGGCACAGGTGTTCCGCCCAGGCCCCAAGCACAGACCACAACTGGAGCCAGGTTCACTTTCCGGGAAGGCACGACGGGCGGGGCGGAGGCCGGCCCGCAGCACCCGCGTCCGCCAGAGCGGACAGCGGGACCACCGTGTTGGAACCCGCGCACTGCGGGGAGCCAGCGCCCGGCACGGCTGTAGCGCACGTGCGCAACCCCCGCGCAGCCCCTGCCCGCGCCCAGCCGGGCCTGGGAGCCCCGGGGCAAGGCGGAGGGGCTGCCGCGGGCCTGCACCCAACGCGGGCGTGGCATATTTACGGGAATTCGGCACCCAGACGCCCCGTACGAGGGCTGTTCTAATGGTACAGCCCGCCGCCCCCGCCGGACCGTGGCAGATGGTTTCTACCGGCTTCGCAAACCTCTCCCCGGCAGCAGAGCGCGCGGAGGGGGCGTGGCGAGCGCACCAGCCCACGCCCCCTGATGCATAGTCATAAGGCACTTGGGGCCGCCTTCCGGGCGGGGCAGGCAGCTCCTCGTGCCCGGGCGCGGCGGGCGCGGGGCGGGGCCGGACTCCGGGCGCGAGGGCGGGGCGGGGCCGGCCGCCGCCCGGCCCCCGGCCTCGCTCTCCGCCCCCGGCGCGCAGGCCCCGCCCCGCGCCCGCCGCCGCGCACGGGGGGCGGGGCCGCCCGCGGCAGGCCCCGCCTCCTGCCTGAATATTGATGCGGCGCGCGTCGGCGTCGCCCTCCTCCCATTGAGCGAGGCTGTGTCGCGTGGCCCAGCGTCGGCGTGACGGTTGGACGCGGGCGCGGCACTGCGGGTCCCGATTGCTGCAGCCGCTTGTCAGTGTGATGAAGATTGGCACCCAGGTAAGCTGTCACTCAAGCGCTCCGCCGCCGCCGCCGCCGCTCTCGCCGCCGCCGTCCCCATCAATCACACCGGCCCGCGGCCGCCGCCCGCCGCTGCCGCTGCCGCGGGGTCGGCGGCGCCCCGGAGGGCCCGCACCGGCCCCGCCGCCCGGGGCAGGGGGCGGGGAGGGGGCGCGGGTGGGGGAGGGGAGCCGGCGGCCGCGGGGGCCGGGGGCGCCGTGCGGCGGCGGCGCGGGGACGCGCCCGGCTGTTCTCCTGTGTGGGCTGAGGGACGCGGAAATTTCTGGAAGGCGCCGCGGCCGCCGCGCCGGGCCCGCTCGGGGCGCGCGCTCCTAACCGTCCCTTTCGGAGAGCGGCGCGCGCCCGGCGCGGGCGGGGGCGGGGGCGGCGGGGGGGCTCGCGGGGGCGCGCCGGCGGGCGGGGGGCGCGCCGGCGGGCGGGGCCGGCCGAGGGCGCGGGGGCGCGCGCGGGCGGGCGGGCGGGCCGGGGCGCGCGGCCGGGGGCGCTCGGCGGGCGGGAAGATGGCGGCCGCCCACCCGGCCGGGCTCCGAGGGTCCCGGGGCGCGGGCTGGGCCCCCGACGGCGGCTCCGCGGCGCGGCCGTGGGGTCCTTTGTGAGGCGGCCTCACGCGCCGGGCGGACACGCGGGGCGTGGGGCGCTGGCGAGCGTTTCCGGGGCCGGACCCTGCCGGCCTCGGGGCGGCGGGGTCCGGCTGGCGCGGGCTGGCGCGGGGGTCTCCTGGAGCCGCCCCGCGCCGCAGTTGTTCGACACGCACCATTGTGCCAGCGGCCGCCCGCCGCTGAGGGGCCGGGCCGCGGGAGCAGGTGCGGGGCGCAGGGGAGGGTCGCAGCTGTCACTCTGGCCAGCTTGTCCCCCGCAGGAAGCTGCTCCGGGGATGATGCGACGTGCGGCCGCCCCCTCCGCTCCGCGGCCCTTTGTGGCCTCCGAGGGGTGGCAGGTGCACGGGCGGTCAGCCGGCGACAGTGTGTCCCGATGGCGTCCCTGCGCAGAGCTGTCGGGGAGCAGAAACAGCCCGGGCCGGGGGCGCCCCCGGCCCCGCCCGCGCCTCGGAGATGCTGCCCGCTCCAGCCACTTCCTGCTGGTTCTGGAAAGTTCGCCCAGAAGGCATTTGACGCTGCCGCACGCGTGCTGTGCCTGCGGCGAGGCCGGGCCCAGGCCCCGGGGCAGGGACGGGCCGCTTCCGGCGCGCTCCTCTGGGGTCTTGGGCGCCTGGAGAAGCCTGGCAGCCGCGCTGGGCGGCCGGGGGCGCCGTCGCCCGGGCGTCCAGCCCTCGCGCTCTCCCGCCGGGCGAGGTGGAGCCGCGGGGCTGCTGTTGCTGGTGGCCGGCTGTGGCCAGCTGTGTGGTCAGGTCCTCAGGAGGCCGGCCGACTGCCGCATGGGGCTGGAGGACCGTGGAGGGAGGAGAACGGGAACCCGGTGGGGTCCCTGGGGCCTGGGCTTGGGCTCAGGGGGCCGACCGCGCCCCTGCAGCAGTCTCCCCGCCCCGCCCCGCCCCGCCCCTCCAGCACACACCTGGAGCGCGCTCCGGACCCCGGTGCGCCCAGGCGGGGCCCCTTCCAGCAGGGCTGTGGCCCAGGGCCACGCACGGGTCGGTGCTGCGGTTGCAGATTCTGGAAGGATCTGGTCAGGCTCGTGTGGGCCTGGTGTTGTGTGTTGTCTAAGCCATTTCAGGAATGTTTACATTTTTTACATCGCAAAACGTGGGAATACAACTTTACAGGGAAGAGAGGTGTAACAGACATTACATTTTTGCACTTCACATTCTTCTGAATTCAGTTACGCTTGTTCCTGCTTTGCAGGGTCCAGAGAGACGGCGTCGTCCGTCTGCTGGGCCGGAGCTGGGCAGGCCGAGGCCAGGCGCTCCATCGGGTCTCCCGCATGGGGGCGGGGGCCACAGTACTGGCGTGCGTCCTCTGAGGCTGTGCCAGTGCCGGCGGGAGCCGGGTCCCCGTGGGATGCCGGCGCCGCAGCCGGCTTGCTGGGACCCTGTAGCCACGCAGGCGCACCGTTCGTCGGCAGCTGGTTCATTGCTGTGTCCGACCACCCTGAGACTGGAGCTGACCTGTGTTCCCCCTCTGCAGTGTGTGCGTGGACGCGGTCCTCCAGCGACCACCCTGAGACTGGAGCTGACCTGTGTTCCCCCTCTGCAGTGTGTGCGTGGACGCGGTCCTCCAGGGACTCCCGTCAGCGCCGTCGCGGCATCTGGGCGGTGTTGCGCCGTGGTGGGGCGTGTGCCGGGATTTCTTAAGGCTGAGCATGTGCGTGTCGCGTCCGTTCCCGTTCCCGTGGGCTGTGGCGACGCGGCCGTGGCCGTGCAGTGCCCGAGACCTGCTTCAGCCGTGGGCATAGGCCCGGAGGGGGCTCGGTGGGTCCCAGGGTGGCTGCAGGAACTGCCGGCCCGCGTTCAGTGGAGGCCACCACTTTGGCTCCCAGCAGCGGGGTGAGGGTCCCCACCACCACTTCCCCCAGCGCGCGCTTCTGGTCAGCTCTTCGGGATCCTAGCCGTGGCGCAGGCGTGAGTTGTTGCGTGGCTTTGGTGCGTCTGAGGGGTCTGTGGAGTCACGGTAGCTGTTTGCACGCACGCAGCTAAGCTGTTTGTGCGTGTTAGTAGGCGTCATTACGTACGTTTCGTGTTTTCCAGACGCACACAGTAGTGATTTTTGAAGGCCGTGCCTGGTGTGGCAGAGCCGCTTGAGCGTGTAGGCCTTGGCCTTGGCCGTTTTGCCATCTGAGAGCTGATTGGTGCTGGCCAGGAAGGGCCGTGGCTCTGGGGAGACGCTGGCCCCCAGGGGTCAGCGCCCCGTTCATCAGGCGTGTCCACTGAGCCCGACGACGCGTGTGCTGTGGGGTCTGCGTGGCGACGCGTGTGCTGTGGGGTCTGCGTGATGACGCGCGTGCTGTGGGGTCTGTGTGACGATGTGCGTGCTGTGGGGTCTGCGTGACGACGCGTGTGCTGTGGGGTCTGCGTGACGACGCGTGTGCTGTGGGGTCTGCGTGGCGACGCGTGTGCTGTGGGAGTCTGACGATGCGCGTGCTGTGGGGTCTGCGTGACGACGCGTGTGCTGTGGGGTCTGCGTGATGATGCGCGTGCTGTGGGGTCTGCGTGACAATGCGTGTGCTGTGGGGTCTGCGTGACGATGCGTGTGCTGTGGGGTCTGCGTGACGACGCGTGTGCTGTGGGGTCTGCGTGACGACGCGCGTTCTATGGGCGTCTGCGTGACGATGCGTGTGCTGTGGGAGTCTGACGATGCGCGTGCTGTGGGGTCTGCGTGACGACGCGTGTGCTGTGGGGTCTGCGTGGTGACGCGCGTGCTGTGGGGTCTGCGTGACGACGCGTGTGCTGTGGGCGTCTGCGTGACGACGCGCGTGCTGTGGGGTCTGTGTGACGACGCGCGTGCTGTGGGGTCTGTGTGACGATGTGCGTGCTGTGGGGTCTGCGTGACGACGCGTGTGCTGTGGGGTCTGCGTGACGACGCGTGTGCTGTGGGCGTCTGCGTGACGACGCGCGTGCTGTGGGCGTCTGCGTGACGACGCGTGTGCTGTGGGGTCTGCGTGACGATGCGTGTGCTGTGGGAGTCTGCGTGACGATGCGTGTGCTGTGGGGTCTGCGTGACGATGCGCGTGCTGTGGGGTCTGCGTGACGATGCGTGTGCTGTGGGGTCTGCGTGACGATGCGCGTGCTGTGGGGTCTGCGTGACGCGTGTGCTGTGGGGTCTGCGTGACGACGCGCGTGCTGTGGGGTCTGCGTGACGACGCGTGTGCTGTGGGCGTCTGCGTGACGACGCGCGTGCTGTGGGCGTCTGCGTGACGACGCGTGTGCTGTGGGCGTCTGCGTGACGACGCGCGTGCTGTGGGCGTCTGCGTGACGACGCGTGTGCTGTGGGCGTCTGCGTGACGACGCGTGTGCTGTGGGGTCTGCGTGACGATGCGTGTGCTGTGGGAGTCTGCGTGACGATGCGTGTGCTGTGGGGTCTGCGTGACGATGCGCGTGCTGTGGGGTCTGCGTGACGCGTGTGCTGTGGGGTCTGCGTGATGACGCGCGTGCTGTGGGGTCTGCGTGACGACGCGTGTGCTGTGGGGTCTGCGTGCCGCGCAGTCCCGCTCTGAGGAGCGCACTCTGAAGCCACCGGAGTGCCGGTGTTTAGATTTGCTCTGCCTTTTGCAAGCAAGTGGACTTTGGGTGGGAATGCGACTCTGTTTTTGGGTGGAAATACTTGGGTTTTTGCACAGAATCCAGTAGCTGTGACTTTCCTCGCCTGTTAAGCTTGGAGTGGCGTCTGCAAGCCTCCTGACAGCGTCCTCAGAACGAGTCGCTTGTTGACCGGACGTCTCTGGGCGGGGACAGGTGGCCGCGGGCTGCGTTGTCCGGCACTGGCTGAAGCAGCCGAGCTTAGCCGCCAAGACGCCTCGCAGGCGCCGTCTGCTGAACACAGCTTCGACCTTTTCCCCGACATGTAGATCTGTTGATTGCTGGGTGTGGGAAGGGGACACCCTGCGGTGCCAGAGCTGGGGTCAGGCCAGCGTCCCCGCATTTCTGTGGGGCCTCGGCAGCTGCTGTACCTGCTGGGTGAGGCAGCTGCAGAGGGGCCGGCTGCGTTGCCGTGCGGAGACAGAGACCCTGTCATGAAATGGAGTGCGCTTTATACGGATTGAAAGAAGTGTAGGTAAAAGCACGGGTGGGCATTTAGCCTTCCAGGGGCGGCGCAGTGGCGTAGTGGGCCGTCCCCGCCTGTGGTGCCGGCATCCCACATGGGCACTGGTTTGTATCCCTGCTGTTCCTCTTCCAATCCAGCGCTTTGCTCTGGCCTGGGAAGGCAGTGAAGGACGGCCCAGCGGGCGCTGTGGTGTAGCCGGTAACGCTGCCGCCTGCAGTGCCAGCATCTCATAGGGGCGCGGGTTTGAGTCCCGGCTGCTCCAGTTCCGATCCAGCTCTCTGTGGCCTGGGAAAGCAGTGGAAAATGGCCCAGGCCTTGGCCCCT